ACAGCCCCTAAAATAAAGGCTATGGGTCTTGGGTTCTCCCAAAACTTTGAGAAATAAAGAGGGGGCCTCTGTGCTGGGTTGTGTGAATTGCACCTCTCACCTGACAGTGGCTTGTGGTGTCCCTGGAGCCTAAAAGCTACATGACGCTCCCTGGGAAGTGGCTGCTTTCTGACTGGTATGCTTGGATCTGTGCCACGGACAGTCATTGGTGGCCCGGAAATCTTTACTTATTTCAGGCTGGTCCAACTCCAAAAAAAAAAAAAAAAAAAATGTGTTCACTCTACCATTGTTCTCCTCTTCACTGAGATTCCCTTTCTCAGTTACATGCTGAAACCCCAAGTCTCACAAATATCACCTTCTCCTACACCAACAAAATGCACAATGATGTAACCCCAAAGTCTTCCGGACTCACCAGCCTGTAGGGAGGAATGAAATTACATCTGAAATACAGCATGGGCTGCCACTCCCTGAATGTAATATGACTATGGTATTCTACAACTATAACACTGCCATTCTTTCAGAAAAAATTCATAGTTATTCCACAGTGGGCAAATCTATGCAAGCCTACCCCCAAAGTACAATGAAGCTCAGAGGCGGAAGAAAGTGGCTGACAAATCCTATCTCATAGAAAGTGGCGGGGTGTGGGGGCTCATGCCTGTAATCCCAGCACTTTGGGAGGCCGAGGTGGGCAGTTCACTTGAGGTTGTGAGTTCGAGACCAGCCCGACCAACATGGAGAAACCCCATCTCTACTAAAAATGCAAAACATTAACCAGGGGTGGTGGCACATGACGGCAGTCCCAGGTACTCGGGAGGCTGAGGCAGGAGAATCGCTTGAACCCAGGAAGCGGAGGTTGCAGTGAGCCGAGATCACCCCGTTGCACTCCAGCTTTGGCAACAAGAGAAAAACTCCGTCTGAAAAAAAACAAAACAAAACAAAACAAAACAAAAAAGTGATATTTAATAGGGACTTACAAACAGAAGCCATGCCAGTGTCTAGTGGTGGAGAGATGAGATCGTGGATCCCTGCACCATTACCCCACAGACCCAGGGCTGATATACCACAGGGAAAGGGTATGTATGATTCAGAAGTGATGTGTAAGGCAATAAAGTATGATAACAGCAAAGCTGTTTTGCCCTAAGGGCAGGATTTACAGTAAGTATGTGATCTTACACACGGAATACTAGACAAACTGGAAATCTTAATGGCCCTCCCAGAGCAGAGGTTAATCTGAAGTCAACATGGCAGATTAGCATCCAACATGGAGTTCCTTTGGCTTCCACATAGAGACTTCAAGAAGTTAAGAATCCCCGAAGGTAGCCACTGTCTTTAGGAGTACAGTGGAGGGCGGCAGCAGTGGTGGTCGTGGTGGTGTTGGTAGAAGAAAGAGGTTAGACTGACTTGTCAAAGTGATGCAACTAATGAGAGTCCACATTGTCTTAATCAGCTGCTGCAACAAAAGTCAATTGTCCCAAAGCTCAGTGACTTGAAATAACAATCGTTCCCATGAATCTGTCAGTCAGCTAGGGGATCAGAAGGGGGTCAGCTGATCTGTCGGTCAGCTAGGGGGTCAGAAATCCAAGTCTTACTGGTTTAACTGGTTATTCTTTACTGGTTATGCCTCCCTGTGTGAAATCCAAAACTGGTGTATTTGAACAGCAAGCAGCTTTTCTCCAAGTGGTGATTCCGGGACCAGGCTCCTTCCATCTTGTAGTCCTCACCAGCTTCAACATGTGGCTTCCAAAATAGCTTGCTTATGTGCTTATGCCAGCAATACGAAGGAGAGAGTGGAAGGCTGTGCATGGGCAGCAGGGGAGTTCGGGGGCTCACCCTGGAAGTGGGGTGCATCACTTCTGCTTATATTCCATTAGCTAGAACTCAATTGCATGGCCGTAGCAAACCAACGGCAAAGAACTCAATTGCATGGCCGTAGCAAACCAACGGCAAAGAAAGCTAGGAAATGTAAGCTACTGTGTCCTCAGAAAGAAGAAATGAGTCTGCTAAACAGCCAGCCAGCCTCTGCCACTCATATAGAGGCTTGCCTCCCCAACTGCGGCTAAAGTGAAAAAGACTGAGCAACTGTTTACCAAACTTAGGGGTCAAGCATTCCATGGAGTCATCCTCGTAACGAGAATGTTCTTCTGAACATTCAGAGCCTGCGGAGCAGTACAGCTGATATTTGGAGCAGCTTTTGCAAAAGGAGAAATAAAAACTTAGATACAAAAGATGGATCCACATTTCTGAGAACCTATAATACAAGAAGACTTAAGTTTTTTTCAAGTTGGAAAGAGGAAGTAAAATGTTATTATAATCAAATATGGGATTTTCCCTACATCTGAACATGACAGGAGGTTTTTTACCCCAGGAATTCTCTACTTGTTGACGTTTCAGATAGTGTGACTGAATGAGGAATTCTAGATAGCTCTGTGAAGATTGGGGGAAGAAGAAAAGAGGATGCCAGTCCTTGTTCCTAGGCCAAGACCTGAGCCCCGTAATACTAATATTTGGATCTAAAATCAGGTAAACGGGAGTGTGTAAGGAAAAGTCATAAGCAGTGTCATGTGAAGGAGAGAGCTTGGGATTTGAAATCAGAAAGACTTGGGGAATTAAGTTGTATAAACCTGGTCAAGCTACTGTCTCTTCATGTGTGAAATGAAGACAACCTCTGATAATGTTTTTGATCTTTAAAGAGGATGGAGATAGGAGATGGGGTGGGGGGTAAAATCTGGCACAGAGAAGTGCCCAGTATATGCCAGTTCCTTTCTCCCTGTCCCATTTCTCTGTCATTCAAAGTGGCCACCATTCTTTAGTAGTCTTAATTATTAGGCGGAAGAAACTGTTTCCCTTGGCTTAAAGAGCTTGCTTGAAAATACTTAATGCTAAACACAGGTCTATAGAATCCAGAAAGGTCAGCTTCCTATTGGGGCTTAAGTTTCCAAATACCTGTGTCATGAGCCAGGACGCACATGCTGGGAGGGAAGACATAAATCTCAGCCCATCTCTGCCCATCTGTGTTGTCATCAGAGGAAACTTCCCCCAGCAACATGATGTTGGGGTTAAATAACTTGTCCGTGGTCACACGGCTACTAAGTTGGAGTCAGCATCTGAGTCCAGGTGATCTGGTCCTGAGCTCAGATTCTTAGGCTGACCTGCTACACTGCCAAGGTCTGGTACAAGCTGAAGAGGTGTAGGTGGAAGGACGCGTGCTTGTCATGGTGTCCAGTTGTCTCTCGCAGGCCCCTCCCAGCAACCCAGGCCTTGGTTTCATGCTCTAGTTTCAGAACAGGGGGAGCAGCGGAACTGATATTTGGAAGAGCTGAGTACTCACAAGCCATTGCTGATAATGACCCTCTCATGTTGTAAAGGCTTTCAATGGGAGCAGGAGTCGTTTGGGTGGTGACAGTCCCCTGTAGACAATCGCGATGCTCTTTGTCACCTTGTGAGGAAATTACATAAGATTGTGATTTTGTTGACCCTCCCCTGGCTAATGACTCTTTAGGCAGAACTGGTCACATATGAAGCTTCCTGACCTCCATATGGGAATCACGAGCCCACATAGAGCTATGGAAGTGACAGTAATACCAGCTTCGGCCTTGGAGTCTCTTCATGGTTTACAACATCCAGCAGAATAAAATAGGGGCAGGTTCTGAGTTTTCTTTATCTGGAAATATTTCCTTAATGAAATGATACACTTTGCATGAGCTGTCTGTAGGTGCCCCGCTCTAGGGAATAGAAAGACACGCATCCCCTTTCACAGAAATCCACAAGAATAGTAGCTGCCAGTGTTGAGGGCTCTGTGCCAGGGGTATGTATGTGTACATAGATTGTAATTTGGTCTGTCCAACATTGAAGTAGGAATTATAATCCCCACTTTACAGAAAAGAGAAGTGAGGCTCAGAAAGGGCAGTTAATTTTCCCAAGGTCACACAGCTAGCAAGTAGTGGAGCAGATGCAAACCAGACCTGTCACACTCCGGGGTCCTCACTCTCAGCCACTGTGCTGTGCTTGGATCAGGCTTCTTTTCACAAGCTCAAAATGGCCTTAGTCAACAGCCAGCAATAAGGGCCACATGCTGTTCCTCAACTCACTTAAAACCAAAGTAACAGTTTTGGGTGGATGGCACCTATTTTTAATCTGATTGAGCACTCCGAAGCCTCCAGGGTGAGTTGCTTAGCTCAAAGCAGTTATCCTACCCAAATGAAATTGTGATTACAAGTGCCACACTAGATGAAGCAGAACTCTCTGACCTCGAAAGCTCACTTATCTGTACCCAGAGATGAGTCTAAATTATTTTCTAAGAATGTGGATGTAGCCTGACAGTCACGTGTACTAGTTTAGACCACCGTCTTTGGAGTTTGACCATGGTTCTGCCATTGACTATTATCTGGGGCTCCTGACTAGGTGGGACTACAGGCACACGCCACCAGGCCTGGTGAATTTCTTTGACTTTTCTCTAGAGCCAGGGTCCACCTATGTTTCCCAGGCTGGTCTCAGAGTTCTAGGCTCGAGTGAACCTGAACCTCCTGCCTCGACCTCTCAAATTGCTGGGATTACAGGTGTGAACCACCACACCCGGCCTAAATTTACGATGTGCCATGGGACTACAAAACATCATTATTAGGGCTGCCAGATTGAAGGTGTAGGAGTACACTAGGGTGCCTTTTCAATCTTTCTTTATATCTAAAATCATTTCAACAGGAAATATTTATTTAAAACATGAATGTTGTTATCGTTCCATGAGTGTGAAGTACAAAGGCAGGCTCATGGTGTTGTCAGAATTCAGAATGCTGGTAGCGGGGCTGGGGGCGCTGCAAGGGGCTGGGCATGGTTGGCTTTGTGATCTGGGGGCTAATGTGTTCCATCTGTGAACGTCTTTCAAACTGGGCACTTTATTAATAAGTTTTTGTAAGTTTAACACAAAATAAAATGAGGAGGTGAAGCTTGCTCGGGTTGCTAATCCTCAGGAAAGTGTACAGCCATTAGCCCTGGCCCAGATGCTTCTAGAAGCCTAGAGGGAACTGAGAACTTTCCAAGTAGAGGTGGCAGAGGCAAGGCCCTGAGGAGGGAGCACTGCTGTTCGTCCCTAGCTATGAAGGGGGTGTCCTGATCAGAATCAGTGCTGGGTGCAGTGCAGGGCCGGGAAGTCCATGTCCACATTGTGGCTCAGTACAGTGAAAGCCAATCTCACCACCTCCGCAGGGTGTTCCGCCTGCCAGCAGGTGGCCAGCTGGTCCTCCTGGGATATGATACCATTGTAGAAATTGGGTGCAAGTCTCTTGTCCGCAGATGGGGTGCCCTGTTGCAGTGGGATGTCTCCCGACCTCCCTCAGTCCTGATGGGCCTGGGCAGGGCCTGGTGTCACAGCCCCATGGGCTTCTCAAGCTGGTCCTGTCCCATAGTCCCAGGGCTGTCCAGGACACATTCAGAAGGGACATGGACCCAGCAGCTCTGTTCAAAATCACAGTGGGGGAACCAAGGGCCCCCCACATTCAGGTCCGTCGGGAGCCGGGGCATCGAGTTCCACTGCAGGAATCTCCAGGAACCCTGAGGTCTTCCCTGAGCCGGGGCCAGGCTGGGCACACCTTGAGTGTCCACAGGGTAGGTGTCTTCCCGGACAGCCCCACCAGGACAGGGTGTGGAAGAACGAGGTGCCCATGGCGGGAAAGCTGACCAAATGGGCCACTGGAACCGGGCTGGTGGGCCTGGAGGGGTCTGCCTGTCCCCCTTGCAGAGGGTCTTCCTGCCACGTGAAGCCGGAATAGGCCTGGGTGCCGAGAACCCTTGCTTGGGTTTGGCTGAAAGGAAAACAGACCTGGTTAGTTTCTCTAGTGAGCCCATGCAGGCCTTTCTGGGCCGGGTACTACCTGCCTGGGTCTCTGGAGTCCTCGGAGGCTCTGTTTGGCCCCCGTGGTCTGACACTGAGGACACACCTGTAGTCTGCTGATCCCAGGCGAGAGGTGTGTGCCGCCTGGCATGGGGAAGGTGTTGGGGCATGGCAGGTGGCTCCTGGGACTGCCCCCAGGGTTTGAACTGGCTAGGGGCTTCCTGCCACGCTCCCTCATCCCAGGGTTGTTGGGCCAGGGATACAGCCCCCAGTGAGAACTCAGGTGGGAGGGGCCTTGGATGTCACCCAACCCCTTGCCACCTCACATGAGGACCCGTCTCTGCAGTGGGTGATTGGGCCTGGATGTGGGTCACCCTCTGCCCTCCTGGGCTGCCCAGTCCATGCCAGGACTGACTGTTCCCACATCTGCCTGAATTCTTGGCTGTGGCTCTGGGCCCTGGGTCCTGCCTGTGCCCTCTCCCTGAATACTCTGGGGGTCAGGGACACCCGATTCCCTTGTCTCCCTGGCTCCCTTGTCCTGGCAACCTTGGAGGAGCGTGCAGCAGTGAGGGGCCTCTGCTGCTCTCTGAGGCTGTGGGTGCTTGCAGGGAGGGGTGGGGTCTCCCACAAATGGTCTGGCTCCTCTAGTGCCCTTGAGGGTCCTGTGACGGGGGGAGAAAGACACCGTGGAAAGTGGGAGGGGGCTTGTTGGAGGGTCATGCCCACATCGCCCTCCTGCGGGCACAACACATCCAGTACACATGCACTGAGCGCCTGCCATGAGGACCGGTGGGCCTCCTGTACTTTCTTAGAGTCCAGGAGGAAGAGGAGGAAGAAAAGGTGAAGAGGAAGGCCCAGGTAGTAGGGTTGTGGGTCCCGGGCACTCCCCCACTATTGACTGTCCCAGAGGGTGACATGGGAGGGGACATGGCACTGGAGCCCATCTGGGGGTGGCAGGTCCCTTTGCTTCCTTGTTAGTTTCTTCGTAGAGGCCCTAAGATGCTTGAGCACAGAGTCATCATCCAACTCCCGGGTGTGGAAGAACAGGTTCCGAAACCGTGTCCACAGGACAAACCTGGACGTCTTAGTGAGGCACTCTAGGGACAGGGTGGACATCAGGCCAGGAGAGTTCCCTGGCAGGGGGCACAGCTCATTCCCCATGGCCACTTCAGTCTCCCACTGGGTGGTACAGGAACCTTCTGTGGCCACCCCAGGGGTCCAGATGTGCACAGGATGCTATGGCGGCGGGTGACCTGGGCAGGGAAGTGCTCACCACATGCATGACTTTCATCTGGGTCATGTGGGGGACGGGCTCGGTGTCATAGTCACCTGCCCAGCCCACCTGGCCAGACCTCCCTCTGGGCCAGAACAGAAGATCATGAGGACAGTGTGAGGAAGCCGCCCGCAGGTAAGTCGGGGTCTGACCCCAGGGCTCCCCAGGCCCCCCTGGGCACACGGAGACTTACTCCTCTGAACTTTAAAGACAATGCTTGTCATCGGCATCAACACCTGTTCTCCTTCCAGCAAATACACGTCCCACAGGCGCGGGATGAGCCCAAGAGAGATCTGTGGGGATAGCAGGTGTGGGAGACTGTAGCCCTTCCAGGCTGGTTGCTCAAGCTGAGCCCACTGGGGTTTCAGTCCCCAGAGTCAGTGACCTTCCCCAGGAGGGTTTCCTGAGCCCTCCAGGGCGCTGGGTCAGACAAGGTCCTGCAGCTCCTCATGGATACACTCATTTAAGTGGGTTTGTGGCTCCTGGAGAGAGGGGCTTGCCCAGGGCATAAGGCTTCCCTGAGCCCTCCCAAGTCGGGTCTTGGCCCAGTCTGCCTATAAGGCGGGGCCTGAGCCCCAGTCATTGCCCTGGGATGACCCCTCTTGGGCAGAGGGTTTTGTTTGGGTGTCCTGTGGGGACCCGCCTGAGCTTCCTGTGGGCTGTGGGTGAGTCAGACCCTCTGGCTGGGGAAGCAGGGCACTGCAGGACAAGGAGGGTCTCAGAGCCAGGGTCTCCCTGTGCCTCCTTACCCCGTCATTCAACATCGAGAGAAGCCAGCCTAAAGAGAAGCCCTGTGTGCAAAGTCCTTCCTTGTCCTGATGGGAGGAACAGAGGTGCTCAGGGCCCCCTGGGCTGCCCTAAAAATCTCTCCCTCTTCCAGGGCCTCTGAAGACCCTTCCCCTAGTGCAGAACACTGGGCGGTGTCCAGGGCTCCCCACAACACCATCCCCTTCCCACACTCCTGGTGGACATACTGCCCTTTGCCCTGCTCTGCAGGAGCTGGGCCCCCATCCCTGTGCCTCTGTCTCCTCCAGGGCAGGAAAGGAAACCAACTCCCAGCCCATGGAGAATCCGACGTCCCAGGTCAGGCCCTGGCTGGACTCAGCCAGTCACCCAGCCCCACGAGGGGCTCCAGGCCCCGTTCCTCCAGCCCCACGAGAGGCAGGGCCTCTGGGGAAGAGCCGAGGGGACCATAAACTCACCAGATGCCACATGGTCTTGTGTTGTGACGTGGGTACCACATGCTCCTGATGGTCTTGGAGCCCCTGGACTGTCCTGCCATTTGGGCTGTGGAATCCTGAGAAGCCCCCAGCCCATCAAGAAATCAGAGTCTTTCCCCAAGATGTGGAGCCATCAGCTGGAAGAGCTGGGCAGCTGCAGAGGCCCCCAAATCCCAAGGCCTCCCACCCTCCCATCTGATGACCTCACCATGCAGCCTTTGCCCTGGGGACGTGGGGCAGGAACATCCCCTGGAGCCTGGCTGGCGGTCTCCCTGGAGGCCTCCTGGACCAGGGTGCAAAAAGGGCAAGCGTGACTTTGAGGCCACGGAAAGGTGGCCAGAACAGGGTGGGTGCTGGGCTTCCTGGTTGTCTCCTGGAAGTGGGGTCGGGCCAGGGGACACGGGATGGGGAGATGCTGCCACCTGGGCTTGGTCGGCCCATTTGTGGGCACCAAGGGTAACAGGAACCTGAGCAGCTGGAGGGCAGGAGGAGTCTCAGGGAGGGGAGAGTCAGCTGCACAGAATCAGTCAGAGGGCGTGGCAGCAGGACACAGAGGGTGGCCACGGGGAGGATGAGATGCCCTCGTGATGGGGATGAAGGTGTCTGACTTGGGCTGTGAGGGTCAGCCACACCGGACTCCTCTGGGACCCTCAGCAGAGACATCCTAAAGACTCCCAAGGAGCTGGCGGCACAAGGAAGGTACCTTGGTTGAAAGCCGAGATCACCTGGCCAGGGTGGACGTCCTTGGGTCTGGTTGCATGAGGTCCTGGGGGCAGCTGTTCACCTACCCTCCAGGGAGTGCCTCTCACTGACAGCTGCACCAGTGCCCAGAATGCATCCTCCTCAGGCAGATAAAGGAGAAGACAAGGCCACGACATGGCTCAAGTCCTGCAGTAGCCCACCTCCTGCAAGAGCCAGAGTCACCGTGGAAGGACATCACCTGGGAGGACTGAGGTCACCTGGGAGGACTCATGTCATTGGAGAGGGCAGAGGTGACTGAAGAGGCTTCCTCTGAAGAAGAGGCTTCCTCAGGGTGCAAATTCATTTCATGACCAAACCAAGTCCATCAGGCACTTCAGCACTTTGTCAAAATGTCTCCTGATGGCACCGGCCTGTGTGTGACTCTGCCAAGCTCCTGGGCTTTGGGGCAGCCCCAGGAGGAGGGCATCATTTCTGGTTCTGAGAAGTGGTGGTCAGACCCAGGTGACACCAGGGAGTCAGGCCCGACTCCTTTGTGTCTCAGCTTGACCCCTTGAGGCCACCCCCTTGCTTGGAGGTTAATGCCAGCAGTGAGCTGGAGTCCTACCTCCTATATCCTGGTGGGTCACAAATACTAACTTTAAAAAAACAGCGACACCCCCATAAAGACACCCCTCCTGTGAACAGGAAATACTGCCGGGAGGAACGTCACTGCAAGAATCTCACCGGGTTATACTCGAATATGCCAGGAGGATGTAGAATAGTTCCGCTGCCTGAGAACCCAGAAATGAGGCTTTTTGTTTGTTTTGTGCAGATGCTGTAAGTTTCACTTTGTCTACAAAGCCTAACAACAAATCCCATTTCAGGTTCAGATGATTCACCAAATAAGTGAGCTCTTCAGGGCCTTTGACTTTGAGAAATGTTTCAGTAAAATCTACATCTGTGACATGCAGATAGCCCAGTTGTACAGTGACTTGCCTGCTCCTTTCCACTCTGAATGATTTTTTTTTCAGTTTGCACACACGCCAGCTCAGTCTTTGAATGTACAGTTCCTCTGTGGTTCTAAACCAATGTGCAGAGTCTCCCAGCCACTGCTCCAGCCCTCCTGAAACAGCTCCTTCATCTTGCTTCCAGAGTGCCAGGTGGCCCCTATGCACCCGGCCTCCTGATCCCTCAGCCCCGGCCACCCAGACTGCTTGTCAGTCCCTATGGATTGGCCTTTTCCAGAATGGCCCAGGAATGGGAATCCTACGTGGTAGCTTATTGGATCTGGCTTCTTCCCCTCAGCAAAGCGCATCTGGATCTGCGTTCGTACGAACACTCACTGGCTCCTTTCCTTTTCTCACTGGGTCTTCCCTTTGAGACGGAAGACCAGACTTGCTCTCCCCCCACCCATTCCCGTGTTGAAGGCTGTCCTGAAGGCTCTATGTGTGGTGATGAATCAAGCAGTGGACGTGGCATGCAGGTTTCATGTGGATGTCAGTTTTCAAATCAGTGAGTTCAATATCTGTGACACTTTGGGGATGTGCGGTTCAAGTCGACCAGGCTTTGTGAGCCACTGCCCAACTGGCTGCCAAAGTGGCTGTGCCATAACATGTTCCCAGCAGACCAGGATGAGTTTCCAGGACCCTAATTGCCCAGCATTCGGTACTGTCAGTGTTTCCTGGAAAGGCTCATGGGCCCTCCATCCTGCCACCCTCCCATGAGGTCCTACCATGAGTCCCCATGGAAGTCAAGGGGAGAGCACCTTTCACCATTGTGCATGATTTTGTTTGCTGCCTTCTGTCTCCTCAGGATCCTTCTGGGTCCCTTACATGTTCCAGTCTGGCCCAGGGCTTGGAAGCAGGGAGGTGCTCAGTTCACAGTGCCGGCTGCTCCTGAGCCAGGGAGAGCTCTTAAGCAGCTCTGTCATCTCTCCTGGGTGACCACAGCTGCTGCTCCAGGAGGCCCCATCCCGCTCATTCACTCCATCTCCACTGGGACCCTGTGGCTCCCATAGGCTTACTTGGCTCCGTGCTCGATCCGGAACAAGATGCTGTCTCCTTAGTGTCCTGCTCTCATGTCAGGTCGATCTGGTGGATGTGTTCAGATGACCTCTTGCCCTTCTCCTTCATGACCTGTAGGGCAGAGGCCAAGAGAAGGAGGAAGCAGCCTCAGAACAGATGGAAGACTCCTGCCCCAAATGGCAGTCAGCCCACGATCAGCATTCCGGGAAGGAAGGAAAGCAGGAAGGTTTCCTTCTGCACAAAACTGCTTTTTGAAAAGCATTACTGGAAGCCGAGGAGGGTCACCAGAGCCGAGTTTGTCTGTGTGACTATGTCACTGTCCGTGCCCAGGATGTGCATCTGACCATCCCACCCACCCCCGAGCCTGGGCAGTGCTCCCTCCAGCTGGAGACCTGGGCCCCTGACACAGCCTGTCCTGTTTGTTGTGCTCTGGCTGGCGTACCTTATGTTCTGCGGTTTTTGACTTGACTTCCTGTATGTTCAGGAGAACTGACCACATTTGACGGATATTCCTTAGGAATGCCCTTATATACTCGATCTATCAGCTGTGGGCGAAAACAATCCAATGTCTGAGCCACAGAGGTGACCCCAGTGAGGACCAGAGCCCGCAGTTCTAGCAATTGTTGGTTTGGCCCCACGATCCTGGTGAGGAGTGAGATCAAGCTGGGACAGGTCTCCTTCCCAGGATTGAAGCTCGGATGGGCCTCAAAGTCAGAACTCTGATCTGAACCTTTTCCTTCCTTTGGGTCACCAGGGCATCCCTAGCCTTGAGCTCCAGGTGGTACAGCCTAGATTCAGATTCCTCCCAGCAAGGTGATGCTTGCACTAATAGGCAGGCAAACCACCGACCAGGCCTGCAGTCCTCTGGGTGAGGACAGTGTACCACCACATCCTCTGAGGCTGATGGTGCCAGGCCACAGCCGTGGGGTGCCTATCTCCTGTCTCTGAAGGGAGAGTAGTTCCAGCGAAACCTCTCCCTCCACACGTGCCTTTTACTGTTCTTATATGTCTCCCATTGTCCCAGCATTTCCATCCACTTGCTCTTTCATCTCATCTCCTGCTGAATTTGCTGTAGTGGGAATGTTGGAAGTAAGGGGAGCTGCCAGGCTTCCCAGAGCCGCCCGTGGATGCTGGATCTTCAGGCTGTGGAGCCCTGGTGGGGACGGACCCAGCTGGAAGGGAGCCAGGAAGGGGCAGACCCACAAAAACTGAGAGCCTTTGAGCAAATGATCACTAGTGGAAGGCTGGTTTTGGGCGCATGGGTTGTGCCATCCTCAGGACACAGACACACCAGTCTTAGGTCGAGTCCCAGCCTCTAGGTAGCGATCACAACACAGCGGGCAACCATCCCCAAGTCACAAATTGGTTCTCACTTTGGAATTTTATCAAACTTCCCAAGTTACAGCACCTTGGGGTCAGATCCTCTGGGGACTGCTGCCCCTCCCAGGGACAGCGTGTTGCCCTCACCCGCCACCGCCCAGGCCAGCTGCCTCCTCTGCCTCACTGACCACCCGCCCAGTCCCCACGCCCCTGGACCAGCACCCACCCCACCATGCATCAGGCTCTTACCTTCACCTCCCGAGCAGTGGCAGGAGGCAGCTCTGTCTCACTGTAAGACAACCCAGGCAGAACTGAGGACCTGCACAGGGCCTGGAGCTCCCGAGACTGGGGAACCAACCCCCAAAAGGATAGGCTCTGTCCCTATCTAGGCTCAGGAGCTCAGTCAGGAAAAGAACTTGGGGAAGGGAGGACAAGGGCCTTCCTGTGAGGCTGACTCCCCAGGAGGGCAGGAGCTGGGAGAAGAAGGAGTGCGGGAGCCAGCCTGGCCGGGGAGTTACTGGGGCTCCTGGCGTGGGGGCGGTCAGGCCTCACAATGGGCACCCGTCCTGGACTGGAAGGTGGTGCTTTCTGCTGGAGCTGAGAAGGTCAGGCCTGAGATGGGATGGGGGGCCGCCCAGGGTGGGCGACCGGGCTTTGACAGGAGTCCCTCGGGGAGTGACCGCGTCCACCCCACCAGGGTCAAGAGCCTGCCTGAGACCTGCCGGTGTACTCTGGTGCACCAGGGCCCATCCCCTTAACAGCCCCAAGGCCCTTGCAAGTTCTGACTCAGCATCCACCTGCCTCTCCCTGCACCTGACCCCCACACCCTGCGTTTCAGAAGTGGCACCGCTCATCAGCTACCACCCTACCTCCCCCGGGATCCTCTGTCTCTCCATCCTATGATCCCTGACAGATGGGCTTCTCTTACCTGGCCCCAGATCCCTTCCCAGCACCAGACTCAGGGTCTTTGGCCAAAGCCCTGCTGCCTCCCAGTCCTCACTGTGAGATGCAGAATGGGGCCCCTGCCCATCTTCTCCCCCATTCTCCTAGGGCCACAGACCCCACTGTCTCCATGCCTATCCCTCTTCCCCAGTAGGGGACAGTGAGGGCTGGCCCAGCTCTATGAAATGGAGGAGGACAGGGGCAGGGGAGCCTTCAGAGACCTGCTGGACAATGGCGGGAGGCTGAGGCAGGTGTCCCCTCACCCTGTGGCCACAACCCTTGTATCTCACACAGGGTTGTCTCCAAGTGGACAGGGCCAGCCAGACCCTCAGGCTGCCCCGCTCCTCTTGTGCTAACTTGCGAACAGAACTGCTGAGAGCCCAGGGGGCCTGAAACCTAGCCAAGTCTCCATTCCCCTGCTCCTAGATGGGCCCGCACACTCTGGCCTAACAGCAACCTCGGGCTGGACCTGCAGAGCCAGGAGGAGTTCTGACCCTGGAAAGTGGCCCGACCCAATGAGACAGTCCTGCCTCAAGAAGGCCTTTCTGAAAGCAAACCCATCCCTGAGCTGAGACAGGTGCTTGGGGGTGAGGGGAGCACAGAGGACTCACTGCACAATCCCAAGCGATCCAATGCTACTGTCGATTCCAGAGGCTCAGGCTCCATGTCCTCGGGCAGCCCAGCTCGTTGTCCCTGTAACCCAGAGGGAGCCTTGGTGAGGGAGTCCAAAACAAAGGAGTGCAAGGGCCTGTGGGTAGTGGCCACCCGTCCCCACCCCTGTGCTCTAGGGAACCCAGGACCCTTTGACCAGGGCGCACTGGAAGGAGCCTCCCTCCAAGGAGCAGAGCGACCTGTACCGCTACTCATGCTTCATAATGATGTCCTCTCGCTCCTGTGCCCAGAAATTATCCTCGTCCTCTATGATTTCCATCCTGTGAGACAAAATCATCTAAAAGTTACATTGTACACCAGAGAGCTTCGAACACACAGACCGCTCCCACCAGGCTCGAGATGCTGGCTGACTTTGTAACCCTGATTCCATCACCGCCCCACAGTAAAAAGAGCCAGACCCAGTGGCCCACACCTGCACGAGTCTCTGGAGTTTGAAGCCCCAAGCAGGGGTGGGCATCATCCCAAAGACTTGAGGACAGTGGGTCCTGGACGGAAGAATCCGTCATCCCCAAATGCCATGGAAATGGGGACACACCTGGCAGTAGGTTGAATGGTGTCCACCTGCCAAGGGTGAAGGGCCCATGATGGGTAATCCCAGGAGATGTGGAGGAAGACTGAGGTCAGTGACCAGAGGTGTCCTGTACAATCCGCCTCCTGGGATGCTCAGGACCACAGAGATGCAGTTTCCTGCAGAGATCAAGATCTCTCTGACTGCTCTGTTCTTCTCAAGCTCATCACTTTGGCTCGTGGCCCTTCAGTCTGAACAGTGAAGCCACTTTAGGAATAATGCCAGTTGAGCAGGAGGGTGTTCGGTTTGGAGGATGAAAATGATCTATTGTGCTGGAAGTGGGAAACCCTCACTCGGGGAGAAGGGACTGTGGACTCCACCATTCTGAGCTGTCCCTACAGGCGGGGGCTTCTTCCCTGGGTCACTGAGGAAGAACGGTGAGTCCTTGGTCCTGGAGAACACCTGGTTGGACTGTCCACTCTGGGAACACTCAGGGCAAAAGGAAGGCGAGACCTCAAAAGGACAAGACACAGCAAGAAATACTTGGAGAGAACCCCAGTGCCTCGACATCTTTGAACAGAAGGGAAGATGGTCTCCCCCAGCCAGTCCTCCAGGGCTCCTTCATTTCCCACAACTGCCAGGGGCAGAGGCTCCTGGATAAGGGACCATGTGTGTTCAGTGGGGCCCACAGCCACCATCAGGACCCAGCTTAGGACACAGAGGTGTTCTGCGGACCCTCCTATCCACCACACCCACAGTGGATCCATCCCAGTGGCTCTGCCAGGACCAGGCTCTGCCACATCGGGTTGAAACCTGGGAAGACTTGGGATCTAGGGCAGGGAGGTCACAGGGAAACCTGGGAAGACTTGGGATCTAGGGCAGGGAGGTCACAGGGTTCAGGCCTGAATTCCAGCACAGCTCACAGCAAGGCTGAGAGCAAAACCCAGGGTCCTGTCTGGATTCCCAGTCCAGTTACCGCCTCTCTGACCCCAGACATCTCACCTGTCGAATGGGTACACTAGGGAACGGCACTCACTCTAAGAAGCCACCATGAGGACAAAAGAGCCAATTGTCTACACGGGCAGTGTAGAACAGGTGGTGCCCGGTGAGTGCTCAGGGATGACCCTCCTCGGTAGCTGCCCAGAGGCCAACATTGCCCACACCATAGCCACTGTCCCCAAGTCAGCCTGGAGGGAAGACAGCAGGTCACACTCACCTGATTCTGATGAATCAGCTGGCCTGCGTTATGCCTCTCAGGTAGAAAACCTCTGAGTCCACAAAACTGTTCACAGATACCACTGTGTGTGTGTGGCTGATACCACTGTGCGTGTCTAGCTGCTGTAGAATACAGAGGCAGGCCGGAGAGCGGATTGGTGCTAAGCACCAGCGACATTCTGAGGTCGTGGCACGCATCACAGTGGGGCCTTGCCTGGGTCAGCAGGGCCCAGAGTCAGGGTCCTCTGCTGCCTGAGGTGGCCACATGCCTGCCTGCAATGTGTTTGTGCGTGCACAAGTGTACATGGGTAAACACATCTGTGCATGTGTGTGTGGCTTCTCTGGCCAGGCCTGGCTGCCCCAGTCATGTGTGCACCCAGTTCCTCATCAGTGTGACCCCCAAGGCCCAGGGCCAGCATCAGAGCATCCATGGGTGTTTCCTAACCTCAGCCCT